GGACCATAAGCCAAAAACGTACTTCTTGTTGTTCGCACTTATCGGTATTTTTATTCATGAATTTTTTTGCAATTTCACAAATGTAAAGACTTTAATAATACTATTTTAAACTACCTTTAAATCAATATCAAAGTCTACAATTCTAATAATAGTTCTTGACAAGTATTACAGATACGCAATCTATTTTAAAATATATTGCATAATAAAAGCATTAGGCTACTTTTAAAGTAGGGATATGTAGGTGTTACGTTAACTATACATTGTATGATAGCATTATCGTTAGGCTTTAAAAAATTTAGCATAATTATAAAAGTACTCGATTTCATAAATGTTGAGTTATATAAAATGGCAACTTGAAAAAAAAAATGATATATATTTTTTAAATTAAGAATTTAACGGGCGCATAAAAAATAGTGCACATTTCATCAATTATTAAAGCAAAAGCGTGTGTTTTTTTCAAATTTCTACTTTTGTAACAAAGTTTCCTGAATAACAGAGGTTTCAAAAAATAATTAGCCTATACCTATATTTATTAAATCCAAACTTCTTTCGTCTTTTTAGTATCATAATTTTATTTTTTTTTAAACTGCCCCATCTATTTACACGGATTTTTTTTAATTTTTTTTTTTTTTTAGACGAAAAACTAATGGAAACTTTCAGAAAGCTAAAAAAAAAAAAAAGGAGATGATTTTTATGAACTAGCATTTCGATTGTCACGCCAATTCCATTTTTGTTGGTAAAATTTTGGAAAAAATACATATTCTTAATTTGCCAATTTAAAATAAATTCTGTTGCTTTGGCTTTGGGAATAAAATATTTTAAAATAGGCCTATATCCAAGTGGCAATTTGTAATTTATCTTTAAAAAGTTATAGTAATCTGAAATTCCAAATAAAAATTTCATTCAACTGAATATTAGGAAATGTATAATTTATTTTGCAAACAACTCTTGTCTTCCGTGCGTATAGTTGCGTTCATATATGATTTATAAAAAAATGACCAGTTTTTATAGCCTATAAAAATGTATAGAGCTTTATACTTAACAGTTTTTTGTTCTTTTTAACTCTGGTAAAACGTGTAAATATTTAGAAAAGGTTATAATTTCACGTAAGTTGATTATTATAGTTTTTTTTTTTTTTTTTTTTTCTTTTGTTTTTATGTATAGAGCTTTATACTTAACAGTTTTTTGTTCTTTTTAACTCTGGTAAAACGTGTAAATATTTAGAAAAGGTTATAATTTCACGTAAGTTGATTATTATAGTTTTTTTTTTTTTTTTTTTCCATTTGCTTTCAGTATATGAAATCGTGTGAGCAGTGCTATTTTGCGATGGAAACCTTTTTTTTCCGTCTGAAAATTAATTTATTAGCTATGTAGTTAAGCCCCAAAAAGGTTTAAATAAAAAATGAAAGTCACATTAGTATTTAGCAATAGGGCCTATAAAAAATGTTTGCATATCACAAGCTGTTCAAGCAGAGCTGTCGCTCGACCTTTCAAGGCCCCTTTTACCACTTTTTGCTTTTGTTCTACCCCACCTTACATTGAAAGAAGATAAGTAAGAAAATATCTACATCACATCTTTAAGCCCCTAATATATCCAAGGGCCCACTGCAGTATTAGGGGTTGCTGGGCTCAAACGATGTTTCTAAGGTTAAGTGACACCTACATTTTTTTTTAAAACAAGAATCTCTTCCGTTGCTCTCGGAGTGTAAGAATGTTGCAAAATTAAAGTATTTGCTCAAATTTATTCTTGTATTTTGAATTCTGACTTTTGACTTTGGTTAGAAGAGTCAGCTTCTTTTACTCCCATGTTTTCTTTAATAGCTCAAATGCTGACCTGGCCTTTCCAATTCTAGCCATGACATCCACTTCGGAGCCACCATTTAAGTCAATGGTGCTGCCTAAGTATGTGAAGGCCTCCATTCTTCCAGCGCATTTAATACTAGAGATATTGGCTGAGTTTACCTTTATGATCTTTATCTTGCTTTTTTATATAAATAAAAGCAAGATTCATCGGTGCCCTCGATTTCTACCCTACACCCCGATGAAAATGATCAATAATTTTGTTGACGAGAGATACACGGCCTAGAGGCGTAGCGACTATTAGTGCCATCCCTTTCACGATAAAAACTGTGCAGCTGTCCGAAAATGCCGCACCTTCAAGAAAGAGTGACACCTAGGTGAATATCCTTATCCTTCCCCTTTTTCTACGCCGCTGGAAAGGGCGTAGCTAGAGTGTTTGGCGTCAGGGGGCATGATTCATTTTCACCCCCTCCTCCTCAGAGCCCTCGATAGTTTGGCGCTCTGGGGAACGTGTGTCCTATCTACTTCCCCTTAGCTACGCCTCTGGCCACTGCCCACTGGCACCCCCCCCCCCCCCCCCCCAAAAAAAAATCTGAAATGCCTCCCGGGGAAAAATGTCTGAAAGAAACACTGCAAACAACAGTAAACGGGACAAAATAACAATAGCACTTGACTGAAAAGTAAAGTGGGGGGGGGGGCGGGGGGGGGCAGAAAAAGAATGTTGAAAGCCTAAATTTGGCATAAGCGCCGGGAATCGAAACATTATAGGGACCACTGAACTAGCACATACGGTGGACGAAATATTATTGTAATACTGAGTACTATTGAAGCGATATCTAGCGAGTTAATTTTTTGAAAAGAAATGGTAACATTATGACGATAATTCATATACAACATTGCGTGATATTTTTACAGTATTGGGAATATAAATAAGCTATTTTTGGGCTGTCAGATGGAGCTGAAACTATTCACTGCGCTGGCCTTTGCGGAAAAATTAGATAAGACAATTAATGGAAATAAGACAAGCAAGTCGTCCCTTTCAAAAATACGGACACGCCGGATGACGAGAGGAAAGTACGAACAATTAATACGGACGCAAAAATTAGTACGGACATCGGGGTCGAAAATAAAAACTGTCCGTACTAAATATGTACGTCTGGTAACCCTAGAAAGAAAGGCTGGTCGGTGGCACATGCCCCGTGGTTGCGGCAGTTTTGGATAGATATTATTGGAGTTGGTTTTCCGCGGCGGCGGGAATGCGTCAGGGAATAGTCTTCGTTTGCCCAGCGTTATGAGTCAGGGAATAGTCTTCGTTTGCCCAGCGTTATGAGTCAGGGAATAGTCTTCGTTTGCCCAGCGTTATGAGTCAGGGAATAGTCTTCGTTTGCCCAGCGTTATGAGTCAGGGAATAGTCTTCGTTTGCCCAGCGTTATGAGTCAGGGAATAGTCTTCGTTTGATTTTCCGGGGCAAATTGGAAAAACAGGCCCCAAATTGGGGGGGGGGGGGGGGGGGGGGTGCTGTGAGCCAGGCTACTACTGATTAGCAGCCCTTGGCCTCGGTCCGGTATTACGGTTTTCCATTTCGCTGGATCGACTCTGGGGACGCTGCTCTTCGCGAGCGGTCGGTCAAGAGTTTCATGCTCAGTACCGCTTCTTCGGTTTGTTTGTCGGGTAACCCTAGACAATTAGACATTAGCAACCATACGACTACGAAAAACAGTACAATTCCAAAGAGTGAACGAGCAGGTATGGAATCACCAAAACTGGAAAAAATCATGGAAAAACGTTAATAAATGGTATAATCAAAGTTTTAACTTAGAACTGCTTAAAAGATCCTGAAATCAAGGACTGACCTCAGCATGACAAGGAAATGCAGATTCTAGCTTTTGCTAATGTTGCAAATTTACAATGAAAATGCAAATAGGTCCTCATTAATGAAACATAAACACTGGTGAAACATAAAAATAATGTTGAAATTACAAAGTCTACACACAGCATAAGTCAGTTTATTAAAATATTAAAACCCACAGAAGATGAAGACATAGCAAAGAGTGAGTTGTTTTTTTGCTGTATATATTTATAAGAGTATTCCACAATATTGGCACTTATTAAGTGATCTTAATGACGGACTAAATTAAGATTTAGTCGATCCAGCGAAATGGAAAACCGTAATACCGGATCGAGGCCAAGGGCTGCTAATCAATTGGAAAAAAATATTTGTGGCTTGACACACAGGTAATAAGATATTAAAATTATACATTGTAGGATTATAACTGAAAAATTCATTTAAACAGTCTTTTGTTTGGTAAAAAATTATTATAATGTAAATTTACAAGAAAAATTAAAAAATACTTTTTGTTTTTCATAATAATATCAATCCATTTTAACAATTATTATTATTAAATTCTGCTTAATTACTTTGCAAACCCCATCAACAGACTTACAATACGAAAAACATATTTTGATGAAGAACCTTTTGCCCCTGTAAAATGAATTCGGTGTTTATTAGCCTTGTGAGATTTGTTACCTAGTGACTTCTATTACACATATAGGCCTATTGTAGATAATAATAATAATAATAATAAAGTTCATTTCAAAAACACGCTTCATCCCCAAAGGCTCGAAGCGCGGTACAAAGTCAACAAAATACAAATCTATAATTTACCACATTTAAAACAAACGCAACACTACAAAAACTAATTACTAGCATACAATTGCAAAGTCTTTCTAGCCATTTCAACCCCAAGCAACACAGCCATTATGCATTAACTGGAAAATAAGGTTGACAATCATCCCAGAAGGTGTTTGCGAAATAGGTGGGTCTTTAAATTGGTTTTAAAGGACTCCAGTGTCTGGTTGTTTCTGAGATCGACAGGAAGATGATAATTTTTCCAGAGAATTGGGATGTAATATTTAGTAGCCTAACTCCAGTGTGTATTGATATTTTGCATTATAAATTAATAAATTTTCTTTTTCAAAAACAAATTATTGTTAATTTATTTATTTGATAAACATTTTTTTAATTGTCTTATTAAATACATTTCAGTCACTTATTCAACTGTACCATGTGTTTCAGAGGCATTAATTCAAACTATTATTTCATTAATTACATAGAAAACCCCTTTAAAAAAAAAATCTCACATATCTTTATGATCTTGGGAAATCTTGGGAATTTTCTAAAAAAAGTCAGTGGCATCAGCCCTGGTTCAGACTTCAGACGTGTTTATAAAATATAGATGTCATTGTCAATGAGAATCGTTGTTAATACTCAATTTCATAGTGACAAGTGGGCCTATTCATAGTCACTAGTGTAAGTATTCTTTAAAAAATTGAAATTCAGGTAAAACATGAGGAAGCCTGCCACTATTTTATCGAATTTCATGAATGTATCCCTAAATCGATCCCTATGACTATGACTATGCCTATGCCTATGCCTAACCTGAACCCTAATTCACTGCAACTATAATAAACACAAAAGACTCCGTGGCAGCCGTCCTCGTCCTCAGTTTTAGCCGAAATTCATTTTCAATTCTAAATAAAGTAAATAGGATAAAAATTGTAGCACTGGAGTTATTATGATTAATTTGTAATTTAGCTAGCAAGTTCTACTGACTCTTGACTGGACTGTAAATGTAAAATTAGTAAAAAATCTATAATTTTTATATTTTATGGTTGGCGATCACACAACAATATCACAATGATCACATCACACTTCATTTGTCATTACAGTTACAGTATCAGTATCAGTATTAGCTGGTTTTTAAATTAATATAAACAGTCTGTCAATTTAGGCATTCTGCGAAAAAAATTATAATTATTTTATTTTCCAACTACAATCACTAAGACAAGACTACTAAGAGTAAGAGAATCAGTGCAAGTACAGGTATGCGAGGTCCGAGAAATTGCATCTGATAAGTTACAGGAGGCCACTGAGGAGGAGAATCGGCAGTGGGGGGGGGGGGGGGGGGGGGGGGCCCCCAAAAAGTGGAGAAAATTGCTTGACGTTATTTATTGATGGCCCCTAAAGTAATTTATAAGGGCCTAGTCTACCCATTAAAAAAATTATAAATGTATTGTTAATTTAATTTTAATATGATTACATTATGAATCATTATGATGAATGATGCCGATGGTTATCATGATGGGCTTAGCAAACGAATTGACTGCTTAGTGAGAAAAAATAATGGCACTGTCTATCATTCACTATGTCTTATGAGTTTGTCTCATCTGACATTTACTTTTATACTAACTTAAATTGTTTATAGTCGTACTACTTATCTATATTCATAGTACTTATATGAATAGAGATGTGTATGAGATTACTCTAGTGACTCTAGACCAGGCCTGCACAACTCAAAATGTCAGGCGGACTGTAATACAGTATGAAAAGCTTGTGCGGGCGGAAAGATAATAGGACAAGGGGGGGGGAGCTATCGAGAAAATAATAAAGAATATTTTGTTACTTCAAGGGCGGCAAAGTGGGTGCTGGCGGCCGTATGTTGTGCAGGCCTTCTCTAGACAATATGATTAGGCCTATATATGTACTGCAGTCTGCATGATATTCATAATAATCATAAATCAAACAAATGTAGACCTATATTATATATAGCCCATAAAGGGCCTACCTATTATATTATATATTTATTGATTTGATGTCTTGTCTGTGTCTAGACTAAATAACCATTGTTATTTTACTTATTTTTTACTTCGATATAGCCTAGTACAGCAGAGGGCTTTGCTTATTTTAAAACTTCAACATAGAGCTATTGTCTTCGAGGATGACCTTGATATTGACGTCACCGTGTAAGTTTGTTGTGTCACTCATTCCAATACTATCCCTTTCTTGGCCGGGGAAAAGGTTGTTCAAATCCGAATGCGTTCCATTTTTTCTCAAATATGCCAATAGGTTATGCAATTTCTAGACTTTCTTTATAAGATCGTTCAGCTTTAATTTTAGCAGATAGACATAGACTTAGCGAGACTTAGATAGACATACGAGGCATATATTTTTGTGTATATAAATTAATATTTGTATTTTGATGATTGTACCTTTTTCACTTGCTGTAAGTTGATATTGCCTCTGTATTTCTATTTGTGTAGAAATTTAATTTAAATAATTAAATTAAGTTTTAGTATCTCTAGCTTTGGTATAGTTTTCTTTGCATACACATGTGACATCATAATTTTTTTTTATCACTCATACATCTAAAACCTGAAATTGACAGTGATTATTAACTTTCTGTTGTGATGGATATCTTCTGATAAACTTCTGATAAAAGAGATGTCATTTTAATCAGGTGTTAATTGCTTAGCTCCAAATTGTGACATTTGTGTTCAGGGAGGGGTGTATAAATTGCCAAAACAAAGTGTGAGTCACTTTATGGATATCCCCTTAATTATGCTCATTATTAATAGAAATATGCAGCAAATATTTAATAGGTCTAATAATGAATTTTAAAAATTAATAAGCCGTTCACAAGTTATATTTTCAATACTGTAGGCATATAGGGCCTATGCTTTATTTAATACATTTATTAGGTCTTAGATGTAGTCAGTAGGTAACTAGTAAGCTTTTGTTCAGTCTTGTATATGTAAGTTGTTGCTACAACTAGTTCAACTCAGACGACTTATAATAATAAATGTAAGCCTTAGGGGCCAATAGTATAGTTATAGCCTATCTTTAGTTTTTATTAGTTAAGTTAGACCCAACTAACTCGAGACTTTCTAAAGACTAAAGAACATGTATTTAGAAACACTAGGCCTAGGCAATATTATAAATATTATATTTAGCTTAGGCCTAGTCCTAATGCTGTATGATTCATTTTTTTAAAAATAGACCTAAGCCTATTTACTATTTAGTTGACCCTATTATATTTTTTTTTTACAGACTAAGGCCCCTTATATTACAAACTACAAGTTGTAGGGTCATAATTTTAGTGTAAGTAAGTAGCCTACGTGAAATAATTTTAAGTCTTTTAAAAGAAATCTCAAATTATGGAAACTGATGTGTATGGACAAAACAACATAAAATATTAAATAACTTTTAAGTGACTAATACATCATATTTTCAATGTACATTACACAAAGTACATTCCTTTTCTTGCTATTGTCGAAAATAAATTAATTGTAAAACTTGATTTATAAAAGGAAATCGCATTTGAGCTTACACACTAATTCTATGTTTGATGTCTGATGAATATAAGGCTGTTCATGACATTCAATATGTAATTACTCAAAAGAAACAAAATGAATCTGTATTTCATGGTCCATTGATTTCAGAGCTACAGTAATTATTCATCCCCCCCCCCCTAACCTGATAACGGGTAAGGTTGTAGTGGATTTTTACTCATGGTGCTGAATTAGAAAAAAGGCTGAGGTCAATTCTATGTTTTATTTCTGATGAATATAAGGCTGTTCATGACATTCAATATGTAATTACTCAAAAGAAACAAAATGAATCTGTATTTCATGGTCCATTGATTTCAGAGCTACAGTAATTATTCATCCCCCCCCCCTAACCTGATAACGGGTAAGGTTGTAGTGGATTTTTACTCATGGTGCTGAATTAGAAAAAAGGCTGAGGTCATTTGAAAATGTGATAAAATTGGAGATTTAAAATGAGTACTATTTAATGAAATATTTTAATGTTAACACCATGTTAGAATTATACAAAATTACTCATATATATGAAATATGTCGTTTTACAGTATTTGTATCATGGGCTTGACTGTTAAGACCTAACAATGACCTTTTTTGTGTGAGCTGGCATGACATACTTGATTAGGAGGTGTCCTATTTCATTGCAGCTTAGAAAAAGTGTGATAGAGTTCAGCCTTAGACAGATAACTTTAGGAAACATACAGTTTATTATTTGGTGATCTGTGGTTACAGAAGTAGTTATTTTTCACCTCAGGTTGTACTCTGTGTTAATGGTTTCATTTAAGCTGCATCTGTGTTAATGGTTTCTTTTAAGCTGGATCTGTGTTAATGGTTTCTTTTAAGCTGCATCTGTGTTAATGGTTTCATTTAAGCTGCATCTGTGTTAATGGTTTCTTTTAAGCTGCATCTGTGTTAATGGTTTGTTTTAAGCTGCATTGTACATCCCCCTAGTGCTGTTTTAATCTAAAGATGATAGGTTTGGAGGATATCAACCATGTCTCTGGATAAGATCTGATTGATGGAGTGCCACTATGGCTTATATTCATTTTTTTTAAAACTCCCTATTGCAAAATCTATTTACTGAAGAGGTTGAAAAAAAAAATGTTTTTAGTGGTGGCAAATGCATTAAAAGATGTCAATTATTATACAAGTGCAGGATGTGTTAAGAATTGAGAGTTGTTGTGATATTTGTCATTAAAATCTCAACCTTTCTCCCAAAGTAACTGAAGTAGTAATATTTATAATAAAGCCTAGTGATTTTAAATAAAAGTTCCTTAGTCTTTAGAAAGTCGATGTCTGTCTTGAGTTAAGGGTCTAACTTAACTAATAAAAACTAAGAATAAGCTATTACTATACTTTGCATTGTTTTAGGAGAGTTTTAAGAACTTTCCTAAATAAATAACCTCTATTGTAGAATTGTGTATAATCTCTTAAATAGGAAACTTTCTCTTAAATAGGAAACTTGAATGATATGGTATGCTGTGAAGTCTCAATGCATAAAAACAGCACTGTTTAAGTTAATGACTGTGAAAGCTGTGACCACCTTAGAATCAATAGTGTTTTTATGTGGGGTTGTTTTCTTTACAGCTGGCTTAGTTTATCTCCTTTTTTAGTATTCCAGGGCATTCTGTCATAAGTTTTGTATATTATTTCACCAGATATAATATAGGACTTCATATGGATAGATAAAACAATGAGAAAGGCTTTTGTTATGGTCATCTAAAGCTAAACTGCAACTCCTCAACTTTTGGAATTGTTTTGGTTTACTTCCAAGATGCATAAGGTATGTGCATTAGCATTTTAAATTTAATCAAAACTTCATTAAAAAATAGATTTGTGAGTCTTTTCTTTAGAACATTGCTTGTTTCACATCCATGCTGCATTGTGTTCATCGGAGAAGTAAAAGACTTAAAAGTGCACTAAATAAATTGCTCTAGAGTCAATCGCAGATCAAGCAGTTATTGTATAATCTGAAAGAGGCTTAGAACTTATGCCTTGATCCAGTTAACTTATAGGGGGAGAAATCTGTACAAGTGAAATACATTTTGTGTCATTAAGTTACCAACCAAGGCACTGTAAACATTACTTGAATCTGCCATTAAGAAGTTGTTGTTTTTTAATTATCCTTGTTATTGTACAAATGTTTTTGGATATTAAAATTAATTGTTGGGTATAACGTAATTGAAACATTTAAATATTATTTATACACATAAAAAGAGAGTTCTGTGAAGTGAAAAAAACAACTTATGAGACAATTCAAAAGGACAAATTTAAAAAATAATTCTTTTTCTAATAAACTTTAAAAAAATAAAAAAGTTTTTTTTTGTTGTATTTGTTTTGTGGGGGTTGTTGTTTATGGATCCCTTCTAAAATGGTGCTCAGTTTTGGCTGCACTCTTCTAAGATGGTGCTCAGTTTAGGACACTCTTCTAACATGGTGCTTGGTTTTCGAAACCCTTCTAAGATGCTGCTCAGTATTGTTTTACTCCTTTCACCCCATCATCTCAAGACCACCCCTTCTCTAATCACATTGATTTGAATAATTATTGTCTTTCTATTTCAGTCAACATTCCATACTGAAACAGGAGCAGCTCTGCTGTTTCCACATTGGATACTTTATGGGAAAAAGGGTGAGTTTAAAGTATTTTGATTGCTTTCATATTGTATTGTATCAGTAGTTGGATTCTCATTTTTTAAAAATGGTAATAATCAATTGTAAATGACTTTGTATCAAATTTTTTGTTAATATAAATAATTTTTATAGAATCCACATAAAAATATTACTTTTAAATAAAACTTTGATGTGTCATGTCATCATGCTAGAAATCTACATTGCTTGTTTGCTACTGGTTGTAATGGGCATCACTTACCAAGGCATTAAGTTTGCCAGACAGCAGTATGGCCGCAAATGTCGAAATCTCACATGCAAGTAAGTTTGCTTAAATCTTGTAATATTTTTTCTATCAGTTCAAAGCCGATTAACCTGTCGTTGTTAACAAGTTCATTTGGAATAGCTTCACTCAAATCCCATCAATTCTTCTTATTGACAGGAGGTACATCTTAAACAAAGGCCATTTCTTACAAACGCTGATGTACATTCTTCAGTTCCTTGGAGGCTACATTCTCATGCTGGCTGTGATGACCTACAATATATGGATCCTCCTGGCTGTGCTGGTGGGTCTGGGTCTTGGCTATTTTTTCTTTGGATGGGGAGAATATGAAGAGGCCAGTGCCGCCTTACATGTACAAAGGATCCCACGGTCTTATCTGCTGACCTGTGGGACGATAACTCCGTCCAGCAGTGCCACGCAGGAGCTGCTCCCAATGAGCAAATCTGAGGATGACATGCAGTTTGATGATTCTAAATCCAGCAACGTCAGGTGCAAGTGCAACAACTCTTCTGTTTGATCTACAAAATCTTGCATTGGCCTATCCATCTTTTTTTTTTTTGTGTGGACAGTACCTCATTCACCGATCTACCCAGATCTGAATGCTACAGTTTATTTAACCAAGGGGGGATGCCAGATTTAAAATATAAAATTGGTAGTGTTATGCTCATTAAGTCTTGTGGCTGTTGAAAAGCATTTTAAATTTATTTAAATTGGATTATATTTTTTTGGCGGGGGGGGAAAGGGGATGCTTTTATTTTGTTCCTAGTATTAGAACAATGAAAAAATTGGACTGGTATAATATGTGTTCATTTTAATAAAATGTTTTGTGCTTCCAGTGGGAACAATTTGAATCAGTAATTTATAGAATATTGTTTCACTTTATACATAAGAATTATTGTGTTTTTTTAAATAGCTAATTTGTTTTGTTGACTGCAATCCATGAGTTTAACATTTTTTTGTTCTGTGGAAAGTTTTCCTGTGGATGGGATCAGTAGTTAACTATATAAAAAATGACTTTTTATTTTAAATGTGCATTTAGCAAATAGCATGCTGTTAATAAGAAAGATTATTTAAAGAATTTGTTTTTTCATTTTTGACTTTGCTTTATTTTTATTTCAATGTTGACAATATTGTTTTATCTTAGATTTACTTTTGTTGTGAATATTCCATGAGCTAATTAATCTCATGGATAATGCAGGAGCAGGGTTTACTAGCTCTATGTAGCACATCTATTTATGAGCAGAACAGACAATTCCTATCACATTGATTTATGACAATTATGGACTGACTCCAACACATCTATTTATAAATGGAAAGTACTGTTTCTGACACATCTACCTAGAAGCAGAATGGACCGCTACTAACACATTTATTGATGAGCAGAGTAGTCTGCTCCTAAAACATCTATTTATTAACAGAATGGACTCGTCCTAACAAATTTTTTATGACCATAATGGACTGACACTAATACAACTATTTATGAGCAGAATGGACTGTTCCTAACACATCTATGAACAGAAGGGGCTGTTCATAAAACATCTATTTATCTATCTTAATTTGGCCAACATATATAGTCATTATATCAAAGCTCCTGACAATATTGTGATTTGACATGACAATATGACCAAATGTTTCTTTTTTCCTATATTTATCTGTGCTTGGCACCAAGAAGCTTTAAGCTTCAACTTAATGAATGATTTTAATCATTCATAGACCAACATGATACATTTTTTTTACTTGTGTTGTTGATGTAAAGAAATATCCAGAATCAAATATTAATGAATGTGCTGAACTAGTCTGTAGATGTTTTCTTATTTTATTTGATGTATTTTATGTTACAAGAGCAGCATGTAACAGATTTGTTTACCATAGATTTATTTTGAGGCCTTGCTTAATTTGTATCACTGTGATCAAAACCCTTATCTTTGGTCTTGCACATAACTGCTACCAGTTTCAGCTCCAAATCTTTGCATTAAACAAATAGATATTATGCAAATAGGGTTGAAACTTGATGAGGTGACTCACATACACATTTCAAATAGATGCACAGCTAGTAGGTCTGTATAAGAAATTTGAATATGTTAAAAAATAATTTTAAGAGTTGAATTAAAACCTTACAAGCTAATGTATAGAAGATTTTTATTTTGCTATTAATGACAACACTCCCCAGTCAGATTTTCTGCATTCATGACATGGGCTTCCAGTTTCATTGTCAGTATATGTAAATGACCTACATTACATAGAAGTCTCTCAAACTTTTCCAGTAACCATGATAAATGTTAGTACATCTATATATATATATATAATAGAAACCCACCTTTACAGCCTGTCTCGCTCAATATCAAACCTCAAAATATCCATAAATTTTTAAAATTTTGGAGTTTGTTTCAAAGAATTGGAGTTTTTAAGTGTTAAAGCAACCTTCAATAGTATTAGTATTTACTATTTTGCTGTGTACATTTAGCTACCGACACTTACGCAGGCAGCTTTTGCAATTATCAACATGCTTTTAGAACAGGAGTTCTTAACCTTTTTTTCAGTGCTGCACGCCCACCCGCCCAACCCCCCCAAACCGCCACCCCACCCTGCTTGATTTCATAACATATTTCTCGCACCCCCCATGATGAAAATTGCAAATACATCTGATTTTTCTTGGTCTTCCCTCACCTCCTGACACTTCTTCCAGCAGCCCTAGGGGCTGCAAGCACAACTCCTGGGTGTAATTGTAAGCACTAAAATTACTTCCATCTCACAAGTTGGTTTATCAGAAAATTGGGATTCAAGAATAATAAAAGACTTGTGAATTAGTCAAGCTTCTCCAGTTGTTTTGCAATAATAAAAAAATCTATTTTTTTAAGATAATCATTTACTTTTCATATAGAATTGTCTCGATTTTAGTACCATATTTTAAATGAATCTCATGCATTACAATATTTTTGTGGTATTATCCAGTTAAAATAAATATATTCTCTCACTCTGACTTGCTCTTGTTAATCAAAATGATGACCTTGAATCAAGCTGATCAGCCTGTGAAGAGAAATCTATTGTTATCTCCTTGGATGTGACCATCTGTGGGGTTTAAGGTTGATGGTGTACGTAGCCACGTGCCTCTTTGACATAGAATATGTTTATCTTGATGTTAGTAACGTGTTGTAAATGTGGACAGGTTTTAAATAACCGAAAATCTACTTAGCTGTACGTAGCTGGGTGTCCCCTTTATTGTGGATTCTTATTCTTTCACCATAAAACATTAGAGTCCTTATGAAATGTGAGGGTTTTACTATTTGTGATAAGGACCAAAATACACATGACCTTATCAAATGGAATTTTTTAAAATGTTACTTAACATTATGATTAGTTAATTGAAATGGTATCAGTTAGTTTTTTTAAGAAGGTCATTTTTTTTTATTTTTTTTTTGGTTTATTTTATTTTAAAATGTTAGTATTTTCTGCTCTTATTAATATTATTGTAAATGTTTTTTAAAAACCTGAATAGAATTATATAGAATATTTCTGACCGCCAAAACTGCCCAAGTCATTATGCATTGGCAAATAAGCAGAAATGACTGTAAAATAAATCATTATCAAAATGTTGTACAATCAGAAGTTCTCAAAGGGCAAGGTGGTAGGCTGTGATCCAACCTAGTCAGTGAGCTCCTTGTGACAGAATGCATCAGGATGGCATTCAACCTTGTTTAATGCATATTTTCTTACTTTTTTTATGTGATTTTGCAGAAAAAGATTATCCATCTTTGAGTTCCATCACATTCTTTTCAACAGCAGATGAACTAAATCTACGGTTGAAAAAATATGTTTTCTTTATTATTTAAAGCATATTTTCGTCCTTTGAGAAGGCATCTTTTAGAGAGATTACTAGATATAGAGACCCATGCACAAAGCATCTTTTAGAGAGATTACTAGATATACAGATCTATGCTCTTGTCTTAAATTTCAATACTTTATCTATTATATTTTATGTCAGAGTGAAGATTTCGGTTATCGGAAATTTTATCGAAAGAAATTTCGTCAAAGGAAAATTTATAGACTGAAATTTAATTGAATGGAAATTTGGTTGAATCTTTTTTTTCAGTTCACACGTTAAAATTTTTGTCAAATGTCTTTTTGAACGCGCTACACTATATAATAAAACAAAATAATGACCAAATTTCTGTTGGATCAAATTTCCGTCAATCAATTTTCTGTCAACGGAATTTCTTTCCATCAAATTTCCGGATACGGAAGATTTCCTTTTTTTTTTACATTAAAATATTTGAGCATCTGTGAAGCCAAAATGCTGCAACAAAAATCTGTGTCACTAGAAACATCAAGCAAATGTGTTTGGTTCCTGCCAAAAAAAATAAGATTTGTTCCTGATGGTCTGGACAAGGCAGATTTTTGTTTCGTACCTACTGATTTATCAACATTCATGAACACACGAACAATTTTTTCAGGTTCTCTTAAACTGGACTGCACTTTGTAATGTTAAAGGGTAGTCATTTTGTAATGTTAAAGGGTAATCATTTTGTAATGTTAAAGGGTAATAATTATTATAGTTCTAAATGGTATTGGTTATTGATATACAATAGTAACCGTTGTAATTGTATTTGACCCAGATTTGTCAAACTACCTTTCGCCTTGAACAGCTTTTCTTTACATAGGATTCATATTAGTAAACAAAATATTTTTGATTAACTATGGTTCATGACAAATTTTTCTGACTTCTCCACTGGTAATCCAGTGCTTATGACATTTGTCTAATACTCTTCTGGGTATTGTTATGCAAATTTCGGTACCAGTTAGTGGAAATAATTTTGTTCTGATTTGCTTAAGGAGGGTATATTATATAAATCAAATGATCTGTTATATTTAAATAAAAGAATGTTAAAAAACATAATTTTTTATCATTTGTTTCGTTTGAATAACAGAAACGGTTGAGTTAAACTGTGGGAAATGGTCCGAGCGACAGTTAAATCCATATCATGGTGGCCAGATACTAACGGGTATATTCAAATGTGTATAACACTGTCACATTGCATTGTCACTCATAGATCACGAAACCAGAAAGCTTGAATCCTCCAAAATCAGTACCGGTACATTAGATTCCACCTTCACTGCAATCAGAAGACAGAAAGTAGAAAAGGTCCATAAAATTGTCCATAAATCTTTTGATTTTTTTGCTCATCGTGTGGTTTTAAATCCGAAGCTGTTTGCTTTTCCCATGCAAAGTGGCGGGTCTTTGAGGAAGAACTAGTGACCAAGTGTAAAGTGGCGGGTCTTTGAGGAAGAACTAGTGACCAAGTGTAAAGTGGCGGGTCTTTGAGGAAGAACTAGTGACCAAGTGTAAAGTGG